AGTAATTATTTTCTAGTTACTAGTATTAGTAAAGCTAACTCTTTTACTAAATAATATATTAAGCTATTATATAACTTTATTCTTGCTATAATAGTCTTTAGTAAAGTAGCCTACTTTGCTATAGCTATAATAAGTTATTAGTAGCTTATTAGTTCTAGAACTACCCTTATTCTTTATATTCTACTATTTAGGTCCTTTATTAATATTAGAGAGGTCTATAGCCTTAATGCTATAGCAACCTATATTAGTTCTAGTATAGACTTATTATAATATATTAGACTAGTAGTATCTACTATACTATTCTTATTAGAGGTTATTTTTCTATTAGTTCTTAAAGGTATATAGTATAGAGTTAGTAGCCTATACTTAGAAGCTATCTTATAATTCTAACTATAGCTTATATAGTTTAATATTAATATTAATTATAGTATTAACTAGTTTAGTAAAGGTATTAGTACTAGTGCTAGTGCGCATTAGCTCTTTCTTAATCTTTAGCTTAAGTTTTTACCTAAATATAGTTAAAAGTATAGTATTATTCTAGTTAGTATATATAGTAAGTTATTAGAACTCTATAGTATAGTTAGTAGCTAACTTAGTTTATATAATATATTAGATCTTATATCTTATACTAGAGACTTTTTTAAATATACTAAATATAGGTTTAATCTATTCCTTAAAAGTATTAAAGTCCTTTATCTAGATATCTACTTTATCTAGGGCCTTACTTGCATTATACTATTATATAGAAGGCTTAATCTACTTAAATACTATACTATGCATATAACTACTAATAAATATAACTCTTTTAATCTCTTTAATATATTTACTTTAGAATAAGAAGAATAAGTTCTATTATATAAGCTAATTATTAAGCTTATTATATTTACGATAGTAGAGAATAGGTTTATTAACTATAATATTACCTATATAGGTAGCACTATTATTAGTTATATCTATATTATTTAATAAGCTAGGGGTAGCTTAGTTTCCTAAGGTAGTAGATATCTTAAGGGTATTTAAAATATTAAGGTTATACTTTAAGTAAAGCTTATAAGTACTATTTAATTAGTTCTTAGAGATAAATACTATTAGAGAAACTAAAGGGGTCTTATACTAAGAAGTATAGATATAATCTATCTATTTTAAAGGTAAGAGGTAATAATAAGTAGTATAGAGTAGACTATCTAGCTTAAAGGTTAAGTTAAGATCTAATATTATAGATTAATACTTAGGTTAAATATAAACTATAAGAGTTATATTCTTACTTACTATATACTATAGAGAGTATAGTAGCTTACTAAGCTTAATATAAGCTATAACGTAGGTATATAGCAAGCGGGCTAGTATACTAAGTAGGCTACTTTTACTAAGACTATACTAAAACTAAACCTATTATAGCCTAAAATACTATAAATTAGCGCTATATGAGGGAAAACAAGCTATAGTATTATTTAGGAACCTTATCTGCTCTATTCTTGCACGTTCGCACGTTATACCTACCCTCTCTATACTATCTATAGCGTTGTTAGGATAGTTTACCTCCTTTAGCGCGCACCCGCTTCTTTACCCTCTTACTATTACTACGCGCCCTAAACTCCTGCAAAGCAGTCAACTACTAGCCTTCTTTAACTGCAAGGCTTCCCTTAGTATAAATACGCCTTCTTTTATATAATTTTTATTATATAGCAGCCTTATTAGCTGCTTAAAGCTCGCTAATTTCCTATTGTGCTAAAACTAGCTTATGCGCAATAATTGCTGCCCCCTTTAACACCTTCTTAAACGCCTTAACTATTAATATAGGAGAGCTGTCTATATACCTCTAAATCCTTATCTTTATAAGCGTTAATTATAACCTAAGTTCTAGGGTATTGCTTAGAGTTTGCGACTGCTAGGGCTTGTTATTTATAGGGAGTAGTAGTAATAGAGTGCGCAGCTTTATATTAAGAGTTAATATAACCTATTCTAGGTTATAAGGGACTAGTCCTGCGCCTTAGAACCCTCCCTAGATATTGCTAGGGGTAATAGCTTTCTTATAAGCTGCTTTAAAGCATAGCAGGAACTCCTGCTTTATAATATAGTTAATCTAGTTGCGCATAAGCTTATTAACCTTATCCCTATATACCTTCTTTAGAGGGCTAAAACAAGCCACGTTAAGGGGCTGCAGGAGGTGCAACGAGTGCGCAGGCATGTATAGGGTTATAATCTTATAATCCTTGCAGTATTGCTTGAATTCTGCAGAGTTATAGCTCCTATAACTATTAATAATTAGCAAACAGTAGGTGCTAATAGTATATGTCTTTATATGCCTGTTAAAGTGCTTTAACTAGTTAAAACCAAGCTTGTTAGTAGTCTAGCTGTTTTTAGAGATAGTAATAGTCTAATCTTAGGGTAGGTTATCGTCCTTGTACTAGTTAGACAGGTGTTAGCAGGCTTTAAAGATAATATAGGGCAGAATAGCCTATCCTATAGCATTAATGCCCTTAATAACTATTACCTACTTCTAGTTACCTAGCTAGACCTGCTTTGCTCGTCCTAGCTTCTCTATATCTATAATAATAACTCTAGTAGATATCTAGCCTATTATAAAGCCTATCTTGTTAAAGTTGTATATATTATTATCTAGGATACTATACTTAGCTTTAATATTAGCTACTAGGCTAAACTAGCCCTAGATTACCGCAGGATCCTCGCAGAGGGCTCGCTTATAGTCGTACTTGCGATTAAAGACTATTTTAAGCTCCTCCTAACGCGAAATAAACCTGCTAGCCTACCTTAGGCTAATAGGGGCTAAACCGCGCTCTTTTTATAGAGAATTAGCTATATTAGCTATAATTATAAGCTAAGGGGACTCTCCTTATATAACTAGCTTAAGTATGCGCATAACAATTACCTGCTCCTTAGCACTAGTTAGATTATATAAGTTAGCTATAGTATTAACGCGTAAAGGTTGTCCTGCGCGTTAATAGTCTTGTATAGTTTAAGAGACTCTATAGATAGCTGCAGCATGTTGCACTAGGAGTTTTGCGTCTTATTTAAGAGCTTAAAGCGCAAGCTAGATCTAAGACTCTTTTAACGCGTTAAAACAGGGTTAGTAGGGGGGCATTTAGATAGTGATAGTGTTTTAGTATAGTCTTAGCAAAAGTAGCCCGCTTAGTATACTAGCCTACTCGCTATATACCTATGTTATAAGCTCTATATAAGACTTACTTTAGCTTAACTACTAAGGTATAAGCTTATTATATAACTTATAATAAAACTATGCTATATAGGAGAGCCTATATAATATTAAGCTAAGTATATTAGTACTTATTAAGTATTAGTAGCTAGTTAGTTATAAAAGGGTAATTATAATAATAGCTAGTAGTATAATACCTATAGTATCTATTAAAGTATCTCCTTATATTAATCTATTATAAGAGTAACTACTTCTAGTAGCTTTTAAAGTTTTATTTTAGTAGATATATAGTAGATCTATTCTATATAGTTCTAGGTACTAAGGTAAACTCCTTTACTAGTAGAGGCTAGTAACCTTATAGTTATAATAATTAGATAGAGTAGTTTATAGGTAAACTAGTATAGCTAGCTATAGCTATATAGCTAGTTAGTTCTCTTATTATACTTAAGTTTATTACTTAGAGCTATAGACTCTTACTTCTCTTATAGGAGCCTAGCTTTATTCTTAGCCTCTATCTATAAGAAAGTAATAGTAGTAGAATTATTAATAAGAGACTAGTTATAACTTAGTATAATATCTATCTTATATTATATAATAAGTATAGTAGTATCTATATGCTATACTCTCTCTATATTCTTTTAAATAGACACCTACCTCTAAAGAAAGTATAAAAGATTATTATAGGTTCTATATCCTCTATTATACTATATCTTTTAGAAGTAGTATAGAAGCAAGTCCTAATTAATAGTTATATAATTATAGTATAGGTAGAAATATTCTAGCTCTAGTAGTAGTAGGTAGTCTAATAGAGGTATTCTAGCTAAGAGAAGCATAATATTAGTATTAGTCTAGAATATAGACATATTCTTATACTTAGAGATAATAGCCTTATAAAATATATAGTAGATATTATAATAATAGTAGAGATAATAATAGAGCATTTTATATAGGATAATACTCTTATAGGGGCTATATAGTAGGTGCTTAAACTATATAAGGTATAAGATAATACCTAAGATCTCTTACTTAGCTAGCTATAAATTATTAGTAATAGGTAAAGGTATAGATAAAGGCTCTAGTTTAGCAAGGCTATATATCTATCTATTTCTCTACTAAAGCTCTAGTATAAATAGTTAAAGATAAAGATATAGGCGCGCTTTTAAGAGGCTTGCCCTTAGCTAGATTAGTTATATAGATAGTCTATTAGGAATTAGTAGGTATAGGTTATCTAAGCATAGTAAAATAGGTAGGCTTAAAAAAGTATAGCCTTCTACTTAATAACTTATAAATACACGCAAGGATAATTATAAGGTGATATAGCTGCTATAGGCAGAGTTCTTGCGCATCTCTATTAGTGCTATAAGGGGGTTAAGCTAAGCCTAAACAGGGGTAAAAAGGGGCAGGAACTGGGATAAGGCCTAAAGTAGAAGCGAGAACAGGCCAAACCATAGGGAAAACACGAGTCGGGCCTCAAACGTGAGTGTCGCTTGGAGGTAGGTTAGGCTTGTTGGCTAACCTGGCTTGTTGGGTGCACGTGCACGGTATGCTGGAATCGCTGGAGCTGTGGCGCATGCTTCTCGAAGCTTCTGTTTACGGATTTTGCGCCTGCTAGCTATTTTTAGAATATACAGTACGCAGAGGGAGGGCAAGGCCATTGTTAGCCTCTTGTTCGAGCTTGCGTCCTTCCCATTACATACGTCAACATGGACCCAGCTAGTCGAGCCCGGTGTTAAAGGGTTAGTGCCACTCCAATACACCCAGCGAGGTCTGAGGAGACTTGCGCGAGAGCTCTCATGCTCAAAGAGTCAGGCGGCGTGTACGAGCGGAGCACCGATCTTGCTGCGGAGCTGCATCAAGACAGACCTGCTCTTGCTGTGCCGCGCTTCTACCACCCTCACACACGATCATCACAGGCACAAGATCTTGAGGGCGGCTTGGTTGCAGGAACACCAATTTGTGGAAAATATGCAGGGGTGAATATCCAGCTTGCTATCATGTACCTGTAACTTCCAAGGAGAGCAAATGTCTGACGGTTTGGTCCGCCCGGTGAGCCACGGCATTATCCATGACTTGTAGCCATCCAATCGTCTTATTGACATAACTCTGTAGCGACATACCATCTTCTGGTGATATACATAGATCTGATAAGCCGAGCAGAAAGATCGAAACCGCTTGCATTAGATGATGAACGAAGCACCACCACGGACATTGGTTGTATATGAAGTCAGCACACGGCTCGTCTGGAAGAAAGTTGATGATCGCCTTCGCGGCATTGAGACAGATGCTGCTTATCTTGCAGGCAAATCGTGCCTCGTAATGCATTGGCAGAGTCTGCCTCCATATGTAAGCGTGGAAGCATTGTTGCCCAAGCAATATCCTTGCACTAGACAACTGGAAACCAAGTAGCACGCGTTCGCGATCTCGATCAGTGTCTAGTACGTCGGTCAGCTGTTCGAAGTTCAGTCTGTTGGGAAGTGACTCTATCCATTGGTCGAGACGTCGTTCAAATCTCGTCATTACCTGCTGCATCTCATCACCAGATCTGGCAGGATCGACCGCAGGATACAGAGACGACAAGATTGCCTGCGTGATGATGGATAACTGAACAGAAGCCGCGAAAGCTGTCGCAGAGCCTGATTCTACGAACCCGAGATTGGTTACGGCGTACTGAGTTCGACCGGAATTACTGACGAGATCGGCATTTACGGGGAAGGGACTTGTACTCGGTTTGCCTATCCAAAACATGTCTTCTGTTCCGCTAGGAGTATAGGCTCCTGCAACAGGACCTATTACCGACACTGAGCAGTACATGTCTTCGACCATGCTGGGACGACCAGTCACAGTGCTGAGCAAGTGCTCAAGGGAATAGAGGCTCCACCACACGCGCGAAAGTGCTTCTTGTTTCGCCTGAGAAGCAGAGCGATCTTCGTTTCGAAGATGTAAGCCTAGAGAGCACGCCAGGCGAAGGGCTGTGCCAATGATGTTCCATGCTCTTCACACGTCAGAGGTTTCTATCGTCAATCGCAAACATAGACGGTCAACTTACCGGCTGACCTGCCCAGTACACAAATGATAGAAAGACAGGAGTCCGAGGTACTGGATCCTAGGTACGTCCGCAGATCCCGTTTGTTCGATCCCGCCGGGCAACAACGCATCAGCTCTTGCGTAGAATACAAGGGGATCGCATTTGTCAGCATACTGTCCAGCATGTGCCAGGACTAGATACTGTGCACCGATGGCAAATACAAGGTTGAGTTTTGCCTGCCACAAAGGAGCCAGGCGAGGCGGGTTGCCGTGATGTAGAGCTTCGAAGTAAAGGCGAAATTGGCTTTCAAACGTCGTACGAGGAAGGATTGGGAACGAGTCTTGGACTTTGAGCAGATAGCACGATAGAAGCTTCTTGGCGAGTCCGGGCGGTGGTAGCTCGTGCGGGTTAATGTTAGTATCTATGCGACTGACACCTGCGCTGTCAGTCCAATAGGAGAGCAACCTCGCCCGTGATTCAAGCGGCTCGTGCCTTTCCAAGTGCGGGAATGATTCCCTTCTGTTTCCAGCCTGTTGTGACCGATTTTCTGCGATACTGCGCAGCCATCGCACTTCTGAGCTCATGCCGATGTATCCAGTGGCAGAAGCACTATTATTTGCGTGTAGATTCTCGTTGAGGGAAGCAACTCGATCGCTCCCGCAAACGATGTACCGATGCGATGCCTCGTTGATATTGTCTGACACATTGCGGCTACCGTCTGGATCAGAAACTACAATCGATGCTTCAGGTGGCCTTGCTTCAGACTCCAAAGATGTATGAATTTCCGGGATGGATTCGTTTCGTACGGGTGAGTAGATGTCTTTCATGGCTTCAAGCGCTTTACCAATTTCAGTGTTATCTTCCGCGGTCGCGTAGGCTCTCATCCTCATTAGGAGCGTAGCCATCTGCTGACATACATCCGTGGCACTGAGCTTATTAGCACCCACGTGATCTTCCCAGTTATGATGTACTGACATCTTCAGCCTGTCCTTTTTGAGCATAATATACACACACTCATGATCTGTAGTCTCGCAACGCTTGCAACGCGGCCTGTCACCGGTGCATTTGGTCTTCTGAGACTGGCACTAGAGACAAGAAGACTTTGTCAGCCCATATGACACCCGGGGGAAGATACGGTGGATGCACATAAGATTGGCTGATGAATAGAAATCGTGAACATGCAAAACCTGAGTTCACGTACATGTGCACACGCTCGCGAGACTCGTTGTCTGGCCTTGTAGGCGTCGCGCCCATCCTCAGACCTCTTCAATCGCGGAATAGCAACCCTATCGCCACTTAGCGACCTGGGCCCGGGCATAATATAAATATACGCTGCGCTAGCCAGCTCGGAAGGGCTATGGTGTCGACACTCGTAGTCGTGTCCCTTAGGTACCTTACGGTTTATCATAAAGTAAGGAAGGGGCAGCTTGTGGAGTTGCCAGCTTCCATTATGTTCTTGGCGTGATGCGTAGCTGTCAGCTCTCACACATACTGTGTAACGCGCCACTTGCACATACGCGCAGGGTTCTTGAGTGCATTCCCCACTTCCTTTGCCACAGTTGGGCTAGTCCGGCGATAAGAGCTTTGATCAAGTTGAAGGCCTGGTTTCAAATTGTGATATTGTTCCTGTCAGGTGATAGATAGCACACGCTTTCTACGCCTCATAGTCGATGCTGCTCTGCAGTTGCATGTGGGGAAAAAGCGCTGTTCCCTCCTACGATATGAGGGTGCTTGCCAATCGGCCTGAGAAATGGTAATTCTATCGAACGGCGGAAGGCATGCAAAGCAAGTCAGGGATGTTTCTTGCTTCCTCCTGCTATTCGTTTACTTCAAACATGATCCGTTGCCCCAATAACCGCATGCATGCAGCACCGATGACGTGGGTTTCTAATGTTGTGGGTCTCTAGACCAATCCCTCTCCTCTATCCGATGCGAAGGCGCGACTTTTTGGGGCAGCTGTATCACTTGCTCGGTGTTACCCTTGCAAATGTTGTGTGGCCGGCTACTCGTGCGCGCCCTCCTCTTGTTCCTATCATTCCAGCCTGTAGTCAGACAGACACAATGGGGAGTGTCCAGGCATTAGGTCTTAATTAGTTGTCTAGCAGTCTTGCGTCTTGCCTTCCTCCGTCAGGCCATCGCTGTTCCCCTCGCTCTACCCTCCGGCATCCTTTATCGCCGCCGCCATTATTGACGAATCTGGCATGGGAAAACAACGCTCCTAAAGGGGATGGGTGAGCATAGCAGCTCAACATTGCTAATCCTGCCAAGACTCACCGTCCCAGTCTGACCTGCAGAACCTGTCGCGTCAAATGTGAGTCGTTCGAATAGCTTCATCCTAACCATTTCCAGGCAAAGAGACACGTCCAGTGTGTTACCAGTGTGCAAAGGAGAACCGTGCGTGCAAATGACCAGGCCGAACGTCGCAATCTTCCTTTGTTCGTGAAGGTGAGGCAGCCGAGCTAGTGAGGGAACCAGGGCTGGTGAGGGGCAGCCTGGCACGGAGTATCAGCCGAAGTGGTATTGGTTCGGGAATACCCTCCGAGGGTGGGTCTCATATCTTGGCAACCATCTCACCTACCTCTCCAGCACCTACACTCGAAGGGATTGGCCTTCTACCTAGCTCGTCGCTTAGCTTCGCTATGGAGGATGCCACTACTCGCTGGCCCCGCTGGCTCTTTCACGCAGTGAAGCGTCACTCGTGCACCATTACACTGAGAATCTAAGCCGCTGGCTGGATGTTACCGACGGGTCGCGGCAATTTAGGCTCGACGTGCCTAGACGACTCAAGCACTGTCCCATACTCCGCTTTGCGGTGCTGTGTTTCGCTGCCCGCCATCGCAGAGTTCCGACCAGCGTAGTGCCGCGTACGGAACAGCACCTAGCAGGCTGTGCAGCTATACTTCGAGTCTCGCAGGGCCCCCATTTTGTTGACCCATCGGCTCCCACCTTGCGCGAGGCTGCGTTCTGGGTCTATGTTCGCCAATGCCTCTACGACGCCATCATCAGACAAAATCCTCTCGACATAGACTTTCTCGCTGCAATTGCGTCCATTACCCTTGATGGATGTCTGACTTCTTTCCTGACTGCGTAGTGTTAGTTGTCTACTTGTAATCACGCGTTCTTCCCTTGAAACGTAGCGCGACAATCCGTTACCCAATCTAGAACCGCGTATTGGCTGGGTATGCACTGCGGGCCGCATTTTGCAGTAACGTCGTGTGGTTCGCTGGGCATCTTCTCCGCAGTCCTGAACAGTTTCTGCATTCGCACAACAGTGCGCTAATTTGTGACCATGAGCCAGGTCTGACGCGTGGTGTCGCCCGCGGAGAGACAATTGCTTGCGAGGGGCTCTCCAACTCTTATCGCCGATCTCCCTCTTTCGTTTTCCTTTCTGGGCACTTCACTCGTGCTCGGCCAGGCTCTGCGACGAGTGCGTCAAGCTAATTGCGATTGGGTTTTATCTATGGCAAGTCAACTTCTTAACCGCTGTACACCTATCATGCGACTCTCCCTCCCCTGTGCATCGCGTTCTCTCGCTGCTCTCCAGAATATCAACCCGAGCAATGCGGTTGGAAGTCAGCATACTGAATCTTCTCTTCCAGTTGTGCTGTATATAAAACCTTCTCATAGGTAACGACGTTTTACTTCCTGCAATCGCCTGGCGCAACGAATCAATTTCAGATAAGCATCAGGCTGCTTCTTACTGACCACAATCCTCAGCGAGCCTGTATTCTCTAGAGCATGGGTCAGATCGTCCGTAACAAACAATTTCCTTTAACATATACATGGCGACAACGTTTAATGGACATCGAGCGTGGGTTTCTTGATATGTAACACACCAGGCTCGAACGATGTAGCGCAGATGAGAACATCTGTATTCTAACTGAGTGAAGTCGCACATCTGCGGCGATTTGCAGAAAGCGGCCGTGTCGTGACAATGAACTAGGAAGGCTGACTGACAGTCGTCCACAATATATAGCTACCGGCTCGCCACCCCACCACACGCGTGTCAGAGAGGATCTGAAGGAGCCGGATTCCATCTGATTGGAGCTTGATGATTAGCTGGATATGGCACCAGCGGTCAAACCGGTTCGAAGGTTGCCGCCTGACATTTCAAGGTCATCAGAGAGGGTCACCTTCGATTGGAGATGCTGAAGTGGAAACCGTGCAGCCTACTCAGTAAACTCCTGTACTATCTCGGATGTTCGACCTGCAATCGTGAGCAGTTGCCACTCAATGTTCGTCGTTGTATTGTCAAGAGTTCATAATCTATCAATCAAGCACCTTGCATACGACTTCTCAAGCTGTAGACCAGGATCTTATTACACCTTATCTCTTGGACGTCTTGCGGTTTACGAAAAGCATTGTGTTTCCCATTCAGACAGGTTTTAAAGATCCGGTCGGACTACCCCCAGCCTCAACAGTGCATTGGCGCAACAGGTCTATAATGCGCCCCCTTTGCCATTTGATACGATCAACTTGCGCGGTCACCGCATGGAGCTGCTTTCCATGTAGATCGCCTTCGTCGAGTAGTGACGCAATCTGATCAAGCTGGTGGTCCATGCGTGTGACGATTTCATGGAGAGTATGCGACCCCCTGTGGTGACATTTAAGAACGGGACATCTACAGTATGCTGATGACATACGTACATTGTGTTCTTTTGTGTTATTGCAGTCGCCTGCACAGAATGTTCGTGGGCTATTGCACTTTGTTGCTGCATTTGTGAGATTGGCGGGAGCTGTTAGGATGCGGAAAGTGTAGCAGGATCGTTGAAGACTGCGGAAGATATGCCCACCAAACTTCACGACTTAGCTGCAATGCGTAGCCTGCAGAGCATTGCCAGCCAATCCAGCAGACCAATGGTAAGCAGAGGGGTCGTCGCTTTGTGATTGTGACAATGACGCGTGTAACAGCAAATGCCACTGTCGCAAGTAGGAAAGCAGTCAGATATCCATCAAGGCCTCTAGATAAGTGACCCCGCCCATGATTAAAGCGAATCGAGCGCTATTGTTTCTGAGGCGCAACGTGTATTGGGAGAAGTGCGCCACAGCTTAAGCGATTCTAGCATAGTGCAGGTGTACAATGTAGGCTGCTAAGCATACAGAACGTGCTTTATAACTGGGCGAACTTTCGCTTGCTCCAATACGGCCGTGGGCGTGTCTCTACGAATGACTCTGGAGCGGGTCTTACAGGCCACTGCTTGACTTTAAATGTTTGGCAGCACTTTGTTGACATACTTATGCGTGTTTTGAACTATCTAGAGTAGCAATTCCAGTTGTTGTAGACAAGGATACAGGGGTGCATCGTCGTCGTCGCGTCTAACGCTGCACACAGATTGGCAGAAGTGTCGATCTACACTACTGTAATTTTGCGTTTTAATCTTCTATATCGATTCTGGTGCCTGCCAAGTACATTAAAAGACCACAGCGAGCTTAGCGGGACGGCGGGCTGCTGAGCGTTGTCGCTAGAAGAGTTTCGTGGTTCTAGGCGGCGAGATATTCTACCTGCAGGGAGGGAGGTTAAGTAGCACTCTTTGGAGCCGTCTTAATGTGTCTAGATTCTACAGACATTGGTGCCAAATAGTCAACTATAGCAAGCAAGGGGTGTTTAGGCTAAGGACTACTCTATGCCCAAGGGGTAAATATTACAAGATACTATAGAAGCACTATGCGCGACAGGAAGTAATCTATATCTACTACTAATTAGACTATTACTAACATAGGTGTATAGCAAGCAGGCTAGTACACTAAGCGGGCTACTTTTGCTAAGACTATACTAAAACCTAACCTATTATAGCCTAAAATACTATAAATTAGCGCTATATAAGGGAAAATAAGCTATAGTATTCCTTAGGAACCTTATCTGCTCTATTCTTGCACGTTTGCGCGTTATGCCTACCCTCTCTATACTATCTATAGCATTGTTAGGATAGTTTACCTCCTTTAGCGCGTACCTATTTCTTTACTCTCTTACTATTACTATGCGCCCTAAACTCCTATAAAGCAGTTAACTACTAACGTAGGTATATAGCAAGCAGGCTAGTATACTAAGTGGGCTACTTTTACTAAGACTATACTAAAACACTATTACTATCTAAATGCCCCCCTACTAACTCTATTTTAACGCGTTAAAAGAGTGTTAGATCTAGCTTGCGCTTTAAGCTCTTAAACAAGACGCAAAACTCCTAGTGCAATATACTGCAGCTATCTATAGAGTCTCTTAAACTATACTAGACTATTAATATATAGAATAACCTTTACACGTTAATACTATAGCTAACTTATATAATCTAACTAGCGCTAAGGAGTAGGTAATTATTATATGCATACTTAAGCTAGTTATATAAGAAGAGTCCCCTTAGCTTATAATTATAGCTAATATAGCTAATTCTCTATAAAAAGAGCGCAGTTTAGCCCCTATTAGCCTAAGGTAGGCTAGTAGGTTTGTTTTGCGTTAGGAGGAGCTTAAAATAGTCTTTAATTGCAAGTATAACTATAAGCAAGCCCTCTATAAGAATCCTATAGTAATCTAGGGCTAGTTTAGCCTAGTAGCTAATATTAAAGCTAAGTATAGTATCCTAGATAATAATATATATAACTTTAACAAGATAGGCTTTATAATAGGCTAGATATCTACTAGAGTTATTATTATAGATATAGAGAAGCTAGGATAAGTAAAGTAGGTCTAGCTAGGTAACTAGAAGTAGGTAATAGTTATTAAGGGCATTAATGCTATAGGATAGGCTATTCCGCCCTATATTATCTTTAAAGCCTGCTAATACCTATCTAACTAGTATAAGGACAACAACCTACCCTAAGATTAGACTATTACTATCTCTAAAAATAGCTAGACTACTAATAAGCTTAGTTTTAACTAGTTAAAGCACTTTAATAGGCATATAAAGATATATACTATTAGCACCTACTATTTGCTAATTATTAATAGTTATAGAAGCTATAACTCTATAGAATTTAAGCAATACTATAAGGATTATAAGACTATAACCCTATATATGCCTATATACTTATTGCATCTTTAATAGCCTCTTAATATAGCTTATTTTAGCCCTCTAAAGAAGGCATATAAGGATAAGGTTAATAAGCTTATATATAACTAGATTAACTATATTATAAAGTAGGAGTTCCTGCTATACTTTAAAGCAGCTTATAAGAAAGCTATTACCCCTAGTAATATCTAGGGAGGGTTCTAAGGCGCAGGACTAGTCCCTTATAACCTAGAATAGGTTATATTAACCCTTAATATAAAGCTGCGCACTCTATTACTACTACTCCCTATAAATAATAAGCCCTAGCAGTTATAAACTCTAAGCAATACTCTAGAACTTAGGTTATAATTAACGCTTATAAAGATAAGGATTTAGAGGCATATAGATAGCTCTCCTATATTAATAGTTAAAGCGTTTAAGAAGGTGTTAAAGAAGGTAGTAATTATTGCGTATAAGCTAGTTTTAGCATAATAGGAAATTAGTAAGCTTTAAGTAGCTAATAAGGCTGCTATATAATAAAAATTATATAAAAGAAGGCATATTTATACTAAGAGAAGCCTTGCAGTTAAAGAAGGCTAGCAGTTAACTACTTTGCAGGAGTTTAGGGCGCGTAGTAATAGTAAGAGGGTAAAGAAGCAGGTGCGCGCTAAAGGAGGTAAACTATCCTAATAATACTATAGATAGTATAGAGAGAGTAGGCATAACACGCAAATATGCAAGAATAGAGTAGATAAGGTTTCTAAGTAATACTATAGCTTGTTTTCCCTTATATAGTGCTAATTTATAGTATTTTAGGCTATAACAGGTTAGGTTTTAGTATAGTCTTAGTAAAAGTAGCCTGCTTAGTATACTAGCCTGCTTACTATATATCTATATTAGCCTTCTTTAACTATAAGGCTTCCCTTAGTATAAATATACCTTCTTTTATATAATTTTTATTATATAGTAGCCTTATTAGCTGCTTAAAGCTTACTAATTTTCTATTATACTAAAACTAGCTTATATATAATAATTGCTGCCCTCTTTAATACTATCTTAAATACCTTAACTATTAATATAGGAGAGCTATCTATATACCTCTAAATCCTTATCTTTATAAGTATTAATTATAACCTAAGTTCTAGAGTATTACTTAGAGTTTATAACTACTAAGGCTTATTATTTATAGAGAGTAGTAGTAATAGAGTATATAGCTTTATATTAAGGGTTAATATAACCTATTCTAGGTTATAAGGGACTAGTCCTACGCCTTAGAACTCTCTCTAGATATTGCTAGAGGTAATAGCTTTCTTATAAGCTACTTTAAAGCATAGTAGAAACTCCTACTTTATAATATAGTTAATCTAGTTATATATAAGCTTATTAACCTTATTTCTATATACTTTCTTTAGAGGGCTAAAATAAGCTATATTAAGGGGCTATAGGAGGTATAATAAATGCGTAGGTATATATAGAGTTATAATCTTATAATCTTTATAGTATTACTTAAATTCTATAGAGTTATAGCTCCTATAACTATTAATAATTAGTAAATAGTAGGTACTAATAGTATATATCTTTATATGCCTATTAAAGTGCTTTAACTAGTTAAAACTAAGCTTATTAGTAGTCTAGCTATTTTTAGAGATAGTAATAGTCTAATCTTAGGGTAGGTTGTTGTCCTTATACTAGTTAGATAGGTATTAGCAGGCTTTAAAGATAATATAGGGTAGAATAGCCTATTCTATAGTATTAATACCCTTAATAACTATTACCTACTCTTAGTTAACTAGCTAGACCTACTTTGCTTATCCTAGCTTCTCTATATCTATAATAATAACTCTAGTAGATATCTAGCCTATTATAAAGCCTATCTTATTAAAGTTATATATATTATTATCTAGGATACTATACTTAGCTTTAATATTAGCTACTAGGCTAAACTAGCCCCAGATTACTA